AACATATACTGGAAAAAATAAGTTTTTTTTAAAATTTTTTTGAATGGTACTATTATAAGAGAAAAGTATGAAATAAACAAAAAAATCCAAAGTGCTAATTTTAGTCAGCGAACTAATTTGAAAGTGATACGAACTACGAGCTGCTACTATCATTTAATTAGGATTCGGTCAACTGGACAATAATAGTATTTGATGCTCAGCTGTTCATAAGATATTTCCTATTTTCTTTTCTAACAATTCTCGAGAGAAGAATATATGCATTCCAAATTTTTTCACTCATAGTGTTATTGTTTAGAAAGAAAAACATACCTATCATACTTTCTTCATATCACATCATTCCTCAATCACGTAATAATACAAGCGTGAAATGAGTACAATAACTTTGCATAATATTAGGAAAAGAAACTTTATTCTATTATGTTTATTTGCATCATTGCATTGCATTAATATCATTTTAACAACTGTTAGACTAATTTTGAAATACTAATAGAACAGATTCCTCTGAGGATTTCTTTCTTGTCAAATCAATTCTACCGGATGCTAATTGTAAAATAAAATCAAGGCTCCTATGTAATAGATTTTTTAATTAATGAGAAATGAAATTTATGGTTGTTTTACAACGCATAAAAAGTTTTCAGTAAATTTTTTTCTTAAAAATTTGTATATTCAAATTGAAAAAATTGCATTCCAAAAAGAGGAAGAAAAAATAGATCAGCGGTATTGTTAAATCATCCAATAATAAAAAAAATCAATTTACTGAGCTATTGGTCAAAAATAAATTTACAAAAGTGGAAAAGTAATAAATATTTGATGAAAATGAATTTTCCTCTGAACACATTTCGTATATTATCCTCCATTATGTAAAAATTCAAATATTGCTTATGCTCTTCTTTTTAACTACTAGATATTACAAATTTAATCAGAAAATTCACCTATTCATCCGTTATCATTTTATCATTTCTTGTCATCCACTATAAAAGTTCAAGATCTAACAGATCTTTTGACGTGATTACGCTGAATATTTCAAACGTGATCATCACGGATAACGCAATTACAGAAAAAAATAATGCATATTTCATGAAAGTATTAACACAAAATAAATTGTTCAATTATGCACTTTTGCAGATTATTAACAGTAACAAAGCTAACGTCATGTAATTCTATTCCAAGCAACGATAACATTTTTTTCAAAAAAAAGGAAAAATAGAAAATGGAGATGAATTTGACGAGGAAATAGAGTCATTCTCACAACATTTTTTTGCATTTATAATTTTAAGTAATGCTAAAAAAAATCTTAATTCAAATGATAATACTAAAAAAAATTTCCTTTTCTGTTAGCCAATTTAGACATGTAATTTGAATGAAATTGAATAAAAATTCAAAAAAAAACTTCGAAAAAAAACGAATTTGGTTTTTTTGTAAACAAAATAAACACGAAAGAAATCTTAATAAATTATATTTCATTAAAAATGGAGTTAATTTTTGAATATATTATGCATGATGTTTTATTTACGCATACAATGAAACTTTTTCTTTTTTTTTTGTTCCAATTATCTCGTGATGCTCATGTGTCAATTGAAATCAAAAAGTAAACACTAAAATGATGAAGCATAGGAATCTTGCACTAATAAGTTAATTATTAGTGTAAGAATTAGGAATAATTTACGTCAACAATTTTAATGGTAACAAAAACAAATTGCTCTATTAATAATTATCAAATCATTTCAAATTACATCATCATCTAATTGCAGCTTTTCACAATGAATCTTTAATAAAATTGCTATTGAAATCTCTTAATTATATAGCTTGCGATAAAAACAAAAAGAGAAAAACTACTACACGTGACTCGACTCATTATTTGTGAAGTTTGAAATGATTTGGTAATTAATAATGCAATTTGTTTTTGTTATCATTAAAATTGTTGACGTAAATTATTGCTAATTATTTTTTGTTAATTTTTTAATTATTTCACTGCTTAATTTATGAAAAGCCATCGCTTTATAATGTAATGAGATAAAATTTATAGTAAAATTTTAGGGAAAGTATTTTGAAATAAAATTGCAATAAAATGATTACAAATTCAACCGAATGGAAAAGTTGCAAGTGCAACAATTTGAAATGACAGTAATGTAATGACTAAAAAAAATTAAATCAATTTCCAAAAAATGTCAAATAATTTCTTTTGCAGAGAACCAATCTATGATGTCCTGCGTAAAAAACTGCTGAATTTTTAGTGAATATTGGACATGCAATGACAAATAAAAACAAGAAATATACTGTTATATACAAATGCTTTGGAATGAACTAATCAGAAAATGGACCAACAAAATGGCAAAGAAGAACTGATCGAGTGATCATTGCTTGACCGGTCAAATTTTATCTAAGCAATAAGAGTTACAATTTTGAAGTAAATGAACAGCTGTAAGAATTAAAATTTGACAAGTTTAGTCCCATTTAAAAAAAAAAAAACGAATTACGAAAAAGATTGCTCATGCATAAATGAACTTTGTTCATATGAGTGACAATTGCTAAGAGTATTTGTTCGATACCATAAAAATGATCTTGACATGATATTATTGGATAGAAAAGCTTCTTCAATCGTATCAAGCAAATAAGACATACTTTCACAAACGATTAAAAAAGCGCTTAAATTCGCGCTCAGTCTGAATTGATGAATACTTGCAGAAAAAACATCTTTCTAAATTGCTTGGAAATTTCAAAAATGACATCATTTGTGAAAGTTTCAAGTCGATTTAAGGATGCTTCAAAAAAATTTTGAATTGGTTTCCTTTGCATTATTACTTCCCACTTCGTGCTGAATTTATTTCCAATATCTAAATAGCATAGCAACTAAAAAATAAAGTTAATGGATAAGTTCTTATCCATTAACTTTATGAAAATACTCTTAATCAAAGAGTTAATTGATGCCTGAAAATGCTATGGATGTAATTTGTTGGAGAAATTTTTGTCAATTTAAGTTAAACTCATTCACTTATCTGTCACATTCATTCACAAAAAAAAAAACAAAAACAAAAAGAAAAAATTTAATGCATTGATGGAAAATGAAATTCAAATTTTGTACAATTAGCGCAATCGTTCTTCTTTTATTTTTTTTCTATTGCCACTTTATTTATTCAGAATTATCCTTTTTATTAATTTTGTTGTCAACAAATAATTTCAAATAAGAAGTGAGAAAAACAAAAAACAAGAATGAACAAATTAATTTAGAAAGGAATGAATAACACAAAACAGTAAATATTTTATTTCATTCAATTATAAAAATTCAAATTGTCTTCCCATAATGCAAGGATTTTGATGACCTTACAGAAAATTCTCTCATATTCGAAGATTAATGGATAAGAGTATGCTGCAATTCAATGCCATAATGTTCCTGATGGAAAGGTAGTCGGGATTTTATAATTGTTCGGTAATCTTTCCTACAGTTCAAATATGCTATTACGGAATAAGAATGCTATAAAAGAGGAGTACGAAGAGAATTAATGGAAGTTATTTATTATTTATGACATCAATTGCTATTGATTCTGCTGTTCGAATTTATTTCAAAAGTAACGTTAATATGAACTAGTTCGATTAAATTATTTTAAATTAAATTTATAAAGACAAAAGTTCTGATGATAGTAAAAGAGGATGTGTGAGAGCAACTAAATAGTAAAAGAATATACCTAATTAGTTATAAGAATGCTGATGAAACTGAAACTGAAATGACCTAAATAGGTCATGAGAAATTGTAAATCGAGAATACAACTCTAAGGCTATATCATGATCCCAGTAATAATAGCAATGATAATAGAACTTTGGTCTATAAAATTTTTCTTTTTATGGTGCGGTGATATATTTCTAACTAATTGACCATTCAATCAATTAGTTAGAAATATATCACCGCACTATAAAAAGAAAAATTTTATAAACAAAGTGCAAAAATTTAATTTGTTAAAAAAATTGTATTTAAAACAGTTTATGGTGTATATATATTTTGCAATCTGTGGTTAAAATTTAATTTAATATATCAGACAATAATTTCAGTTTTTATTCTTTGATGTTACGAAAAACGTCCAATAGTATAAACAAATGAAATGAACAATTTCTGATATGATTTAAAATGAAATCTAAATTTAATTTGTTAAAGAAGCCAAAAAAGTCAACATTCTTTTTTTCCTCTTTCCTTCCCTTTATTTCTCTTTTCCTCTTTCGCTCCCATTCTTTCATTCTCTAATGATCACTCTTATTTAACATTTAAAAAAAAGTGCCCAACAGCTATTGAAATGACAATGTTCATTGTAATGAGAGTTTAAATTCTTCATTTTTATAAAGACTTCTAAAAAATAAAGTTAATGGATAAGAAATTAGCATCTATTTTTTTTATTGATCTGTTTGTTTCGCAAATCCTTTTTTTATTGAAAACTTCTGAAGCTTCAAAGCATACTTTAAGAATTCACACAGCTTAGATTACATAAAACATCTGACAAGTCAAAATTGCCATATTTGCCAAAATTTTTCCAATAGTTACGTTTTTAGCTTTCAAAAACAAAACAAACAGAACAACTTTACAATGTTGGTACTGTTAAATTACTATTAATTTCATGGTTATATGAAGAGTTCAAAGAGTATGAGATTAAGTTAGAAAATATTTAATATTATATATTTTGTCAAATGCGTCGACATTTTGTCATATACTTTAAATATATTCTTGCATATAAATAAACCAAAGGAAGTAATTTGTGATAAAATGAAATGCATAATTGATATTATCGATAAGTTTAAACCTAATAAATTTATTTCAAACATTAAATTAATCTGCTTTTTTCTTTTCTTAGCACGATGAATATTAAATTAATCTGCTATCTTTTTTCTTTTCTTAGCACGATGAATAATATATCAATATAAGCAACGAAATTATTGATGAAATAAATTTTCATATAATAGAAAATGTCACATTTTAATTGCTCATATTTTTAATCAAAAATGATCAAAAATGATAGTTATTTTGATGGTGCAAAACCAATCCGTTCATTGTTGATATCATAAATTTGACAATATTGTCTAATAAAAGGATCACCAAATATCCATGTTGGTCCAAAACCATTACCTTCTGCGGCAAAGAATGAAAAAATGCAGGTATTGTTTTCAACCTGAATTATATATAATTGTAGCAACTGCGGACAATTTTAATTTGCAATCAGATATTACTATGCATTATTGTTAAAGTTTACGACATATACTTTGTTCAATAACTATAATAATTGAACTGTTAGTTTTTTATTTAATAATAAAAATTTATACAATAATTTTTTTTCCCATCTAGTTATCATTTATTTGAAAATATTTGTCATTAATTAAAATAAATAGTTGATGTGTAGCTTAAATTTAAAATGAAAGGATTTAGTTTTCTTGAAAAATTAATTAATTAATTTTAAAAAATTTAATTAAATTTTAGAATTGGTTTCGTTTTTTAATTATAACATACCATAACAATGTAATTTTCCGATTGTATGTTATATTCATGAGAGCCAATGATTAGCGTCACTGGAGGAGGTTTAGCATCGCATTTTATGAAAAACATTTCTTCGTTTTGATTGTACTAAATGAATTTTTTTTACTTAAATATTTTGAAAGAAATGAAATATAGCTAATGAAGTTAAAGAGATTGCTTATAAGAATACAATTCGTAATTTATTCCAAGGCAGTTACTCATTCAAATGAAAACATCTTTTCTTTTTTAAAAACTGTACTTTTGCTTTGACAGCTGCACCCAAACGATTGACAATGCCAGTGGGTCCAGCAATTAATGATGTTCCCGTATCCGATATCGCTTCCCATGTTCCCCTTATCGAATATTCGTTAGCTTTAATACCACGTAAACGAAATTGCCAAAATGTTGTCGATGATAATGGTTCATAATCAATCACGTCACCACAGTTCACGTCATCTATTGCACCATAAGAAAATAGACCACCAAAGACGTTCTCTTGTGCACCCTTAAATATTGATTACGCAGTATATCTGTCCATCAACAAAAATTTTAAATGTCAACATTTTAAAATGTATTTTGTCTACTTCTCTCGTTAAACAGATGATTAGTATTTCAAATTAAATGATTTTAGCCAATCAATACTTCTCAATGAATGTTTCCGGCTTAGGATTTTAGAGATTCCTGTCGTAAGCTGCTATAATTACAGTCAGGCCGTTATGGTTAAAACTACCAAATTCACTATGTTAGACTATTAGTGTACTATGGATGAAACTGAATTTGCGGTAAATTTTAATGAAATCAAAACAATCGAACAAAGAGTTTTACTCGGCGATGTAGCCAGACAGTAAAAAGAGGTGGATTAAGGATGTTTTGATTAATGGCAGCAATTAATGGTGGTGTGACACCATCCACAGCAATCGATGTAAAAGCCAAGCCAACAATACCGTCAACTGGATCATCACTAAATCCACTCAGTTTTCGAGCCAATCCAAATGTGATATTTGGAATTATTAATGAATCATTCTCATTTGGTCCAAACTAAAACGAAAAAAAAGTTAATGAAACATACACATAAAATGAGTTCATCAATATTAATTACATAAAATATCCAAATTCTCCGATAGTTGAGGTTGTGATGATGAAATCAATATTATACATATAAATAATCAAATGATAACATAACAGTCACTTCGTATCATGTTCTTTTTCAGACAATTTTCGTTACTTCGAAAATGATGGTAAGCTATTGATATCATTATATAAACAAAAGTTTCGATATCCTTATCAGTTAATAGAATTGAAGAAATAATGAAGAATTTAGTCCAAATGATTCCCTAATATAAATTAAATATAATTCTTAAATATTGTAATTTATTACCAAATATTGTAATTTATTATAATTTATTACCAAAAGGACATAAATTATTTATTTATATTAATTCTAAAATAAAAAGCTAATTGGTGAGAGAGATGTCCGTGAGAGATAGCTGATAGCATACACTGAAAGCAATTTATCACGAATGAAATGATAGGAAGTCAAAGCTTCCAACTAAAATTGTCATTATTAAATTATTCAGTCACTTAGTCCGAATTCATCCTTAAATCTAGTTAAAAATTTGGCTCATACCTCACATTATTTTACCAATATTTCCAATGAATCGATTAGTTCAACAATGAAGCAATAAATATATCATTCCAAAAGTTCATTTTGAACTTTATAAAACAAGAAAGCAAAAAATTTAAAAGAAATGAGAAATTTGAAAAAAAAGCTAAAATCTAAACTAACAGCAAAATAATCTTGTCCCAATAATCCATGTGCATTTGATCCATCGCCATACAGTATTGACCACATGCGACCATCTTCTTGGTATGTTTTTGATAGTAATGGATTGAAACGATTTTTTTTTCGACAATCACCTACAACGCAATTTATTTCTGGAATCCACACATTTGATGATCCCGTATCCAAAACCACCAAAAATGTCTGCTTTCCAATGGGTGAGCCAAGCGATATGTTTGCGACGTATTCCATATCATCGTAATCGTAAACCTAAACAAATGTGAAAAAGCAAAAATTTAATTCTAATAAGAAATACATATTGCATCTTTAATTAAATTTTTGATAAATTTTTTAAAACAGTTCTAAATTACTCAAAAGAAACAACAGTTTCCACAATTATAGCAGATTTAAAGCATTTCAAAAATTAAAACCGATTTGATAATTCGATAAATTCTTCTCTTGATTTTAAGATCAACGTCGCTCAAGTTATAAGATTATGTATTTCACCGCTTTTTCTTTTTCACTGTTTTTGCTGGTATTTTATAAAACTTTTATTTAACAAAAAATTTCTCATTGAACTAATGACCTCATCTTTTTCATCGCTCATTGTAGTAGCAAAAAGCTGAAAGTCACACATTCAAAAAAGTTTGAACCCTTGCAGATAGCATATATGTTTAGTGGGGAAAATGAAGAAAATCATTAGCTGGGAACTGTTTGAAAATATTGAACTGATAATGTTAACATCGACTGTCAATAAGTTCGACATTTAATAGAAACAATCCATCAAAATGATCAAAATTTTTTAGTTAATAATTTTTTATTAACGAACTAAAACGATGCGGTAACATCCGTTATTATTTTCAAAAGATCTATTGAAAAATTCCGCACTATTCACTTTTGAGATCGACCTCTGATTTTTTTTCTATTTCTCGTCATGTAAGATCATTATGATACTATCGTAGCAATGAGAGAGAAATTGTAAAACAATCATTGAAATTGGTAAACTAGCGAAGATCAAAAGTAGGCTGAGAAGAGTAACAGATATTCAGTGATCAGAAGAATGATTAGCTTACTCTTTCTCCTGCTTTTGTTCGTGATCGAGTGGCTCGAAATTGATTCTTATTTTTAAGATGTTTGGACCATAAGCCTTTTTTGAAAAGTCTTTTCCGCTTGCTTTCAATTTTTGTCAATTGAGTCTGAAAATAATTATTGATGAAGAAAAAAACTGAGGGAAATCAGTCAATTGTGAGTAGTGAACAGTAGATTATTTAATAATGATAATGTAAAATAAATTTTGAAAATATCAAACAAGACAGAATTTGAATTTCATTAAATAATAAGAAGTTTTTAGCATTAACTTACTTTATGTGCGGCAGCTACAATGTAAATCAGTAGAATTGTTATGATAAGCACTTTCATGATAGGGTAACAAGTTTATTGTACTCACGATTGCCTTACAGAGACAGAGATTGAGTTCAAATGTCCTGTAATATCTATAATTTATTTTGACCCTTTTAGACTTAATCCGACTTGATGATATTTTCTGAAAAGGTTTTGAAACACCTTGTTTCAAGATAGAACTTGTATGAAAAAGCGTTGGTTGCAATAAAGAAATTCACGATCTTATCGATGTATTTTGTTTGGCATTGTTTATTTGAAATTATTCTTCTCTTATCATTTATCAGTTACAAAATTTTCGGACCGAATGGAAAATATTACATTCCAGATGAAATTCTGTAAAAACATGAATGATAATTCTTTTAAACAAACTACCCATTTCTCTGTGTCAATATTATGTATGTAAGATATGATACCAACTATATGGAATGTATCAATATTATCAATACTGTAAAGTGTAATGCTTCTACTTTGATATTGTTTTTAAAATGGTAGGGACAATCATACTGCAGATTGATTATAAAAACAGAGAAGAATATCGTGTGAATATTTAAAATCGATCAAGAATACTGTAGATTGATCAAAATACTGTAGATTATCGATGAGAGGAGAGAATATTGTATGAATACCGTGGAAGATCAAAAATACTGTAGATTGGCTATAAAATGAGGGAGGAATATTGTATGAGTATTGTGGAACCGATCATTATTATATTCTGTAGATTGATCAAGAATACTGTAGATTGAGTATGACGGGAAAGGGCATATTGATGAGTATGCTCAAATATAAGAGATGATCAGATGATTGTTTTGCTAAAGAATATAATGTCAACAATAATTCAGATAGCCATTTTTACAGCTTTATTTCCTAAATAATTTTACTCGTCAGATAGTATTATAGAAGAGTTTGTATGTGGAAGTAATTGTTAATATATTACCAAATTGTTTGCATAATTTGAAGCAATCAATAAAGTAAACTCTGATAAAAGAAAGATCTTTAAATAAAATGGAGCATTTATCTTCATTAATCACTATTAGCTCCTGTAATTAGCCCATTTTTATCTGTTGAAATTAATTATATAATAAATGCTACAGAAAGAGCAAATAATAGTTGACATGTTATGCGTAAGCAGTATTAGGTAGTACACGTAAGTATCACCGATTGATACCGATGTGATATTATTACCGTTATGCCACATTCAGAGTGTGAACCATACGAGCGATGAAGCTCATCACATCAGATGGTTAAGGTTGGAGCGATGCTCGACTTGCTACTTTCTAGACGATACTTTTTTAGGGCTTAGATTTACCTGATGGCCTGGATATTTTTAACTGAGGCTTATCCAATGATGCGGGTAACTTTGGGATTACGCTATGGTTGCAGTATTTTCGGTTTTAGTTTGATGAGGCAGTGTGATAATGCTAATTTTCTACTTTTATTATACTCATGTTATTAAAATTCAGAAAAGAAACTAGGGAGATATGATTAGTATGTAAATGTAAGATCAACTTATTTTGACGCAGTGATACAGCTTCTCATGACAATCTTTGATTAGCTGAATTATGATATTTTATCGGTAATTATTGCATATGATAATAACTTCTGTCGATATCATTCACGGGAAAGATATTTTCTTTATAGATATTTGGATATTATGAAGAAAATGGACGATGATAGGATGAAAAATATTGGAGAAGTAAGATATCTGTTATCATTTCATATTTTTTTCATTCTTGAGTAAGACAGTTAGAAATTCCATAAAGGATTTAAATATTTAATGAGTATTCTCATGTCTTATTTCAACGTCACCCTAAGTGATTTTCAGCAATAGCATTTAATAAATTACTCTCGCTCACATTAAAATATTTGCGAATTTATATGAGAAACTGCTGGCAATGCTTTTAACAATTCGTTTAATTTCAGAGAAAAATGGGTGGTGGAGTAGAAAATGCTCAGACTGAGAAAGCAAAGGAGGCTGCTGAGCGTGAGGAAAACATGAAAAACGCCATCCTTTCACAGGTTTCGCAATTTTTCATCTGTTTTATTGCAGAGGTTCTGCATGTCACTGTTAATATAGGGAAATACTCACTGCAGAAACTCGTCGTGCTTTCTTTGAGATGCTCATTGGATTTGAAGCCCTCAACTTACGATTTTCAATTCAAGTAAGCGGCTGAACATATCCCAAGTTATAGGTTCTTGATCAAAATGCTATGGCTCGCTTAAGCAATTTGTCTGCAGCAAAACCTGAGAAGGCTAGGATGGTGGAAAATATGATCGTACAAATGGCAAGGTAGGGTGTTTTTGCTAAGGTTTTGTATTTTACAGAAGACCGTCTCAAATCATTCCTTTGTACATCTGCGATGTTACAGCTTAAGCAGGTTCAAGAATTGCAATTTTACTTCATCTCATTTTTCAAGTTTGTGATAAATTCTATTGTTTCAAGATTTGCACATTTGCTCACGTAACAGAGATGTTGGACTTCCTGATATGTGATAATTCCTGTCGTACCTTTAAAAATGACCTCGTCTAATTTACCCATTCGAGATGAAATATCAGTTGCCTTTCTGTGGTCTTTTCTGATAATAGGAATTGCTGACTCGTGCTAAATCATTATGTTTACCAGCTGCTAACAGAAATCATATAAGTTTTAATCTTCCATTTCTACAGGAAACGCTACTTTCATATAATTTCTTTTGAACTTTTTTTAACTTAGGAGAGGACAAATAGCAGGTAAAATGAACGATGAAACATTAAGGCAGTTGCTGACTCGTTTCTCAGAAAATACTCGACAAACAACAACTGTCAAGGTAGATACCTATTTGCGCATTTTCTAAACGGAGATTTAGCATCTTCAGCGTAAAGTTTTTAAAGACTACAAAAAATTTTAAACTTTTTTACAGTTCGATAGAAGACGAGCAGCGATCGACTCCGATTCCGATTAAGCTAGTTTATGTCATATTTATTTTGTTCATCTGATAATATTTATTACCAAAGTTTTATGGAGTTATCTGGAATGATGCTAATCTAAATAGCGATGAAGACGTATTTTTTCTAGTCTATCATCTAGATTTTTCTTCCTAAGATCGTCTGGTTGCTAAGAAAGATCTCATGTCGGTGTTAATAATACAGCTCTGCGCGCCACTGTGTTTATTCTAAGCTACTTTTTAATCAACAAATCCCATTATCTCAGCTATTTATTTGAGAGGTAAGAAAACTATAGTAAATTGGATTTCTCGGCCTGTTAATTTAATGGTTTCACACATATTTTTACTATCGTTGTGAAATTATTACGTAATCCTTTATTACAGTATTTTATAGATGTGTTTGAAATATTGCTTTGATGTTTTGAAAAAAAGATTACTTTGAAATTTAGTCCTTTACAGTTTGAAAGTGACCCTTAGTTTCCACAAGGCAGATGAAGCTAGTCCTTATTGAATTTTCGAGAAACCTAAAAAAGATATTTATGATTCACGTGCTTCTAAAGGAATTTTATTTCCTTCTGTTTTTCTTTTTAAAAAAGTTTTGGAGCTTTATGGCTTTATTAATTATAAACATAATAAAAACAAATCAGATATCATTGCATTCGTCTCCAATATTCGATCTTTTGCATATCGCAAATCCTAAAAAAATTGCTCATTGATAACTATACTTTTTATTACCTTAACTTAAGACCAATCCAAGGAAAACCTCGCATCTTAAATTACTGTTTTTCATTAAATAGTACTCAGCAATAGTTGGTACTCAGATGTTAAGATGTTACGTAAGAATTGCTGTTTGCCGGATGCAAAAAAAAATGTTGAGTGGAAGTAGTAAAATGGGTGGATCTAACGGAACTTTGTTGAATGAGAGTAGTAAAACAAATGGATCATACGGGCTAAGTTGATCCGCAAATGAGCGAAGTGCTTTGGCTGTCGTCATATACTCCTTAGTATCTGGTAGAGCAATGCTCATTTCGATTAACAAGGAATCTGATAATGGTTTCAAAACATTAGGATCATAGGTTCCTATTTTCTCGGTTCGTGTAATGTTGTTTATTATAATCTGAAAATAATCCCAAAAAAATTTTCTCACAGTCAAAATGACGAAGTTGAAGGTAAAGCAAGGAAAAGCAGTGATGTTTGAGAATGGTTGGTACAGAAGAAGCTGAGATTATTATTAAAAGTGCTAAGAGTAGAATTTGTTTTTCATACAACTGATTTCACGTTATTTGGTGCAAAGTATTGCTATCAAAAGCACTGGACAAGTTATGAGGTCTTGATATTATATGTGAACTTGAAGCTTAAAATTTGGAGAGGTTGTTTTCAACGAACAAAATGGGAAATACTAATTTTAAGTAATAATGATAATATTCACTTTTATATTTCCTTTTGTAAATAGATATCCTTTTGTAAGATATTCATAGTCCATCCTGAAAATTAATAAGTAAAAAAGCCTTAACTTGACTTCTAAGGATTCAACTTTTCCAATGATACTTTACACTACACATACTAAAAAACGCAGCATACCGCTAAGCAAAAATTGATTGGCATGTCAGTTGGAGTTCATCGAGTTTCCATAGTTCAGGATGTATGTCTGCCTTTGCATATCCAATATAGAATTATGAATAAAGATAGATATAAAAACTCAGATTACCTTAGTCCTAAAGTTTTCACAAATTCCATCATATTGCTGGAATAAATCAGCGAATCTATGGATTTCCGTATAATAGTGGGACAGTGAACATCTGGTTCTGCTGCTCCCATATATCGAAAATGCCACTGAAAACTATTTGCATCTGGTCCGCCAAATTTTCGTCTTAGGCGAACTGTTACATCAGGATCCTGACCTGTTTCTGGAAAAGATATATGACTGAAAGTAGAACGGAACTATTCTAAATGATGTCACGGCAAAAACTTTTTCTGTTATACCAAAAAGATAGAGATGAATAGATACTGAAAAAAATGTCATTGGAAAAATCCATTACTTCTATTGAAACACTAATTCTGTATGTGTAGTCATTGGAAAAGAGTTAAGATCAATTCTTCAACTTATATTATTCAATGGCCAAGAATTACATGTCAAAATGATTTAAATTTACGCACTGAGGCTAAAAACCATTTCATGTTCGTTGAATGAATGTTGACCCGGATCGCAAAGGCCACGTAATCTTTGCAGAAGTTTTTCTTCATGTTCCTTGAGCACACTTCCATATAATATACATTCCTTTAACAAATCACTTTTCACATCTATCCCTTCATCTGTGGATAGCAATTGTCATATTCAATAAATAAATCAGATTAGGTAAATGATGACACTATCTGCTAAGAATCGAATAAAAAAAACGGAAGAAAAAGCCGATATAAATTATAACCTTGCATTGATAACTCGAATTTGACGGCAACGTGCTTGCAATAATTGGAACACTGGCAATAACTTCACGACTTCGCTCCGGAAATCGTTCCATTTTCCTGATCAATAACGAAGTAACCTGCTAACTGAAATGGACTACGTATAGTAATCAGTTATTTAACTACATCAAAAATGCTCGATTCTATCAAAGACTAATTATTCGAAACGGATAGAATGGAATACAGGATTAAATGGCAGAGATCAGCGGAATTCAGATAAGGGATGACAGAAGTGTGCAAATGACAACAAATTTAATTTAAACAGAATCCACAACCAATTATGGCTAGCATGCACCCTTTCTACGACTCCTCTCCGGCCGACTGATAATTCCCGGTTGGCCAGCATTCAGAGTAACGGATCGTAGTTTTATTGGGTTCGGTTCATCAGTTGAAAGTTATTTAATAGGAGGAAGAAGGGTGACACCAAAGTCTTGTGGACTAATTTATGAATTAAACCACTGTTCAAGCATGCATGCAAATTATACGAATACTAAAATTATTATAGGCACTGATATTATGTTACACAGGGATGAGTTTTATCAATTTTCCACTCCGATCCGGGAGGGATGAGTGGCAAAAGATAAAGTATATTCATTGATGACTACTCCAAATAAATTGGTAGCTATAGTATTAGTATGTTTATTACTGGGAAGCGTTTTCCGCAGCCTGTATGGAGGAAATGATATCCCTTTGTCAGATGAAGAATCAGTCCGTTATATCAGGTAGGAGTGTAAGAACTTAAGCTAACCTACTTTTATATATTATTTGGAAACTGAGTACGACCAAGAGGAATATTTTTTCATCTTGAACTTTCTTTTGATTTGGTTTTAATGACTTCATTCTAACATATCAACCCGATACGAATTGATTTATCAATGACTAAATAAGATAGATAATTGAGTCACTTCTAAATAGGAGTGAAAAAGAGGAGTCTTCCTGAATTCTTTTCATGCATAAATTACATGAACAAAATTCATTTGTTCGTTTATTTGAAATTTGATTGCAGTAACAAGGATAGTTACAACAACGGAATGAGCATTCAGACGAAGCGATTATTTTTTTTATTATTTTTTACTAACATTAATTTCATCTTTCACTTCTGTGTTCACCTTTTTCCTGAAAATAAAGTTTTACAACAATTATTCCTCTTCATTTTAAAACGTATATGTATCAGAGGATTAGCTATTTTTTGAAAGATTTAATTTTGCATTTAAGCATACTCGAATGTGGCTTTCAAGACAGTGAGGAATTTTTTTTAATATTTAACAAGAAATGGGAAATGCTAGTGAATAAACCAGAGGCGATAGAATTAAGAGTGGGAAATTTGAAGGTCATCTCACTTAACGCGTGACGCAGATTCGGTAAAAACACCCTCGAGCACTGATTCTGTCATACACTTTAGAGTTTTATCATAGTGAAGACAAGCTGCCATTTGCAGATACTTCCGTGATTCTACCTCTTCCGCATTCTATAAGTAAACGTTCATGATATCTGGCTTAATTTAGAGGAGCAGATGGAATTTGAATGTGAATTGGGAGCATTAATTGTGGTCCTCTTTCATTTTGTAATTTGTAATTTTATTTGTAATTTGGAATTATTTTCTACTGGGGGGAGGAAAAAAAGGGAGAAACAAACCTTCAGTAATATGATTAGATCAATAGCGAATAGAAAAACGAGGAATAAAAATATACAACCGGATGAAAGGAAACCGTATGCTTCGATCTTCACATTAGTGCATATATTATACACCTTCTCTTTCTAAAATTTTCCTTTTTAAACACATTACATCACAAATGTCAAGTATGAAACGAAGGACCAGTAATATACTGAAACAAACAAATTCATGATTCAATAAATGCAAGAGATTCGAATCCAAAACTGTGAAGAAATATCCCATCTAGTGATTGGAATACGTACCAAGTATCCGTTGATTCCAATACTACGTTCCAAGTATCTGATACATAACGAATCCATGACAGCTCGAATTTCTGCTCCTGATGACATATAAAACTGCAAATTTCATTAAAGTAAAGTCATAACAATATAATTTTCTACCGCGTGAAATTGAAGATATATAATACAGAAAAAGAGACAATATTCTACTAATTATTTCATAGAATACAGAACATGTTGTAGATGGCTTACAAACAGTTTGACATTAAAAATATAAAATATTTGGAAAAATTTACTTCAATGACAGAAAAAACGCAAAAAATGGAAATTTCAGCTAGATCAAACATCGCTTCTTCCATCAGATCTTCTTCTTCAGACATACAGCGCAAGAACATCAATAATAATAAGATGGGAAAGGCCAAAACAATACAGCCAAATATAACAAATCTAAAATTATTCAACGCAGATGACAGGTAAAGTAACGTTTTGATTCAGCCTTCCTCTATCAGACGGACAAAATCTATTTTTCCGCCCCTCAGTAGTACTATAATTATTTCAGAAGAACTGATTAGCTTCAATAAAACCGTTCTAAGCTTTCATCTTTTTTTGCTACATGCTTCTCCAACTATTTGATTTTCTTAAAATTTTCGTCAAAACATTTTTCTCGTTACTCATTACCCATAATGAAATTGAATTTTCACGCCAAAAATTTCAATACTAGTTAAAACGACAAATAAAAATTCATCTTATATAGAAGTAGGCATGGAAAAATATTTACATTTGTCCATTAAATGGCTTCAATATTTCAATAGTATTTTCATCATCAAAAATTTCAAAATGCTTTTCAGTTTGATTCATTGATAAATTTAATGCATTGAAATAACGAGTAGTTTCTATAATGTTTCCAACGAATGCCTTCTGATCACTCCACCAATGTGGCATTATTCGACAAGTTTTTCCCAATGGAATCTTTTCTGTGACTGAATCAATCATTCCTGTGATGATATAGTTATGAAGCCAAAGATAAATGTGGTACAGTATGGAAAAAGTAAAGAAATGAGAGAAGTAAAAGAAAGTGCATTTAAGAAGGAATATGAAAAGTATTGACCTTCTTTAACTATAGGTATATTATAAGTAAATCGTAGACAAGGAAATGCGTATACAATAATCCAAGCGCAAAATAGCAGGATAAGAGCAATGAGACGCAGGAACGTATATTGCATACAACTTGGTAAGAAATAATTCTGTACAGAACCTTTTTCTGCAGTGCTATTTGTTTAATGATACTAAATACATGTAAAGGTTTATCAAGATGCTATCTTAACAATTTAGATTTCGCTTCGTAAAAATGATAAAGTATTAAGACTTAACTCATATTTCAATATACTGAAGTAAAACATTGGTATCTTTTTTTTAACATATGTGTAACGGATATAACAAACCGAACAATAAAGTACGCAAATAGTAATAAGTAAGATGAAAATATCATTACTGAATAAATCTCAATATTTGGTTTCGGCTGATACTGAATGCAAATTTTATTTAAAGCTTTTCATAACAGTTTTAGCTAATCATTATAAAATTTGTTTGCACTACTTACCAGAACTCTTCTGCTGCGATAATTGAGTGGTTTCCCCATAATTAATTTTTCCTGCTTTCAACAGTTCCGTTGATTGCGCTTCTCGCTTTGGAAGATTTTGTGCAATTGGCAGGTCAATGCGTTTTGTAAGTGGTGACGCCGGTCCTCCTTGCACAAAATCGGGAAGATCTTCAAATGAATTTGTTATGCCTGCTTTTAAATTACAGGTAAGCCTATGTCTGAAACCATTCTAATCATGTATCAGTCTCGTTTATACTTGTTACTCCTTGCCCTCTCTTTTGTTCAGTTTTAAAGAAACAGAGATAGAGACAGATTATTTTTACACACAGATTCGCGCATTACAGCGATAAGTAATGGATATTGTTGAGCAAATATTAGAATGAACGAAAATAATTTTTTCCTAACAATCTTAAATAAATGAATAAACGACGAATGTTCATTACCTTGACTGCTAGCGAGAAGCACTGATGAACTGGTTGGAATTTCATGTTTTATTGAATCTAATTTATTAAGTTTATCATTAGTGAATTTCTTCTCCACATGATTGATTAATTTTTGCTTCCCAACAGTTTTCAAAATATTTATGTCAGGCTTTTTTGAGAAGAAATTTCCAGTTTTAGAAGATGCTTTTATTACATTCATCGGCTTCGATTCCGCTTCTTCCACTGATTGTGTTTTAGAATCCGATTTTTGTGTCGAGGAAAGATTCTGTGGATTTGTATCGGATGCAATTGTAGTTTGCGTATTTGCAAACAGTATAGGTATGTCAGGTGGCATATCATTGTTAATATTCCTGCAAATATTAAAATATAAAATTAAAAAATAAAAAATTGAACTTTGGTGTAGCAAACATTTCAAAACCTTTTTTCAGGCGCTTTTCGATTATTTCTCATGTTGCTAATGCGAGACCGACATGCGCAAACGACAATATTCCACAATAAATTCGTCAAATATACTTACAACTTTTACATAATATAATTCTACTAATTTACATAGCTCTCTAATTGGTACGTAGAGGCGGGATACAAATTTTCCAGCAAAATTTTCTTTCTTTCTCTGCATCCCGCATATTGTCGCAACATCTGATCGGACAATTTCAATTCATAATCTGTAAAAAAATAGTCCGTTGAAATCTAATCCCGAACTGAAAACAGAAATTATGTAATATCTGAATGAACATCACGAAATTCATCACTGCAGATTAAATAGTTCCATATATCTCTTTTATAATCTTCGATGAAAAAATAATCTTAAATTTTGAATCCGATTTGCTTTAATCACATTAAATGAAAGCATTATAGCTTTTAAAGCATTAAACTTTTAAAATGATATTTGAAAATGAATTTTCAAAAATGATTCTCTTCTGACAAAAAAAAAAATGTTTCAATGACTGGTATTTGAGAAAGAAGAAGTTGGTATGAGAAGGAAGAAACAGCTCCTGGAGTGACATTTCTGTAATCAAAAGTATGAATTATACAGAGGAGGGAGTGACAAAGGTCTAACAGCAGTTTACTTCTCATATTTCGGAATGTTACATTAATTCCTTGTCAACTGATTTATACATAACCTCTAAGTTATTTTTCTTTGAGAATGACATCAGATGTGTTGAAGTTACTTCCTCCAATTTAAGAAATGCTAACATATATCCTAAACAAATTTTATGTCAAAAATTTTACATGCAAAAATTTCGATATTGAAATGTAAGGAAAAAAGTTGCTGTCATTTGTTGTCAATACTTGCTAATCGGACTGAAATTTGCTTCTTGTAAATATCATATACTGAATAATTAATACCAATGAAGTAAAGAAGAGATGCTCAGATTAATTCTAAGTAATTGATTTCAGTACTGTCGCATTAACTCATTCCTTTTCAATCATATCTTAAAGCTAAAACAATTAAACGTTTATCTGACACATATTAAAACATAATAAGATGTTTGACAAGGATAAGTTTATTATCATCAATTCCTCAAAATGTCTTTACATAACGGAGAAAAATGAAATGATAAAGTTGCCAATATACTAAATACACAACAAATCGATTTTTCATTGTTCCGCTGAAGTAAATGAACCAATTTACGTACTTGATTTTTTTGCTGTAAATTTTTTAGAAGATCGATCATATCAGATCGATAAGTTCTCTCATATCAATGACTTACTTCCATTACTATCATCATGTATTCCTACCAAAATAAAGTATTTACAAATTTCTTATTTTTGGTTCTCATCATAATTACATTTCGTCTAATTGTTGTAAGAAATGACTGATAACATTCAAATTAATTAAATGGATAAATGAAAGTATGTGATTGCAAATATAGATTGAAGTAATACTGATTCGTTAACATACTATTGTATACCTTTTCATTGGTGGACAGTTTAATATGATAGTGACCACAACTTACTGACCTCAAAAAATAGAATACAATACAATTCGCTCTTTTTATTGTTCTTCTTCTCGTTGTTTTTTCCTTCAATTAGTATGGTTTTTTTCATATTGAATTACTTTTCAACTAAAAAGAGAAATTTTGGTTCACTTAGTAATTTGATCAAAAGGATACGGTTCACCATCTCAAGACTGATATGGACAGAGCTCAAGCAAATTGAAGCAATTCATATTTACAGTCGAAATATGACTAAATGACCATAATTACAGCATGAGATAATGAACGATCAGAAGAGGAAAGAGAGTCAAATGTCACGGGACTATCCCAAATTTTACGTCATGACTGCTCTTCTTCAAACATGTCTATCCATTTCTTGGTCTTTATCTTATGTGGCCTAGTGCGTGAGAACAATCCCGAATGGTATCTCAGTCCCCGGAAAACACAGACCCCAAGCAATCCAACCAATGACTAAACATAACAATTCGTGCAGGAAACACGGCCCGTGTTCAGTGGTTGGTCGACTAGCTTTTGTCACACACGGATTGCTCGGTGACAAATAACGAAATTGTCGAGGGACTGCGACAAGTCGATCGGGTCATATCTCGTTTAATAAGTAGTTCGAGTTGTTACTGACGTGAGGCAGAATAGTCCTGCACGCTTTTCGGGTAAGTACTATTTCATTTCTGTACGTTTGTTAGAGTATCATTTGACAAAAAAACTTCTGATCAGTGTGCTTCGCAGCAATTGTTTTGATTGAGCCATTACCTTACATCTCATAACTTGTAGATAGATTGAATGGAACGATTTAAGAAATGACTGACATACAAATTGAGCGATTTCTCATCTTAAAGCGGTCTCAATCTTCTAAGAAATAAAGCTTACTGCAGTTGAAATTTTAATTAATTTTATCCTTCTCGGGCTTATCGATTGATTTGCGTGAATGGTTTTCTGGAAAATATATGATTATTTATTTGTTGATTGATCTTATACAACATTTTAGGTAAATACCGGAAAACAGAAGGCAGGAGAAATATCACGTAAAGATTATTGAACATTACATCGCAATTATACAAGAATATCATTTTTTGTTTGGAAAATATGGGAAAGAGAGATCCAATGGTCTCAGAATCACCAGCAGAAGAACAGCTGCCTATAGAAGTAGCAATCGAAGATAGGCTACCACAACGGCCATCCATGTCACCTTCAACCAATGCATCTGCTAACGAAAAGTACGATGAAATGGAATCAAATATGTCTGATAACTTAGTAAGATTTATTTCGCTTTGAAGAAAAATCTAAGGAGATACTAAAACTAAAATTAGGAGGTATAAATTAGGCAATTTGCATAGACCGATCACCAGTGTTTTTCCTTATAGTTTACTCCTTTACATGAAATTTCTCGCCAATCTTATTTAAAGTCGGGCTTAATCAAGCTTAACTATTATTTTGTTTAATGTCTATTTCATATAACATTTTCGCGTTACGTAAATATTTGGCCATCGATATTTGACATTGTTTTAAATTTAATGGAATAATGAAATAAAAAGAAAGTGAAAAATGACGAGAATAAAAATTTGCAGCCGTCACATCAGGAGCATATAATGAATAGATTAACAAGCATTCGTGGAAACAAGCAACGCATTCTATCTACATTACGTGAACTCAAAGAAAGTACAAAAGAAGGAGAGGTAAATTTGAATTGATCTTTATATGTGTGTCATCAAGAAGTGATACTGTTGATAATAAATTTAACGCTGTCTTAAATATTTTGGAGTACTGGAGTGTTTTTTTTTTCACTCTAAGACCACAAACAGGAGACACTGAAAATGAGCAAAAAAACTGTTATAAATAATCAGTTTGTATAATGTAAAAATCTTGTTCGTCTCATCGCTAATGTTATAGTTTCCAAAGAAAGAGTTAATGGGTAAAATGATTGCAAGCTATGATGCACTCACTGCACAAGAAGAACAATACGTACAACTAATGCAGAAAATTGTTGTAAGTTAACTCTGATTACATTTACATTGTAAAGGTTTTGCTTTTATTGATGCCAGAGCAAATTCTAATAAAATATTTTTTCTTAACTGTATATTTATATATGGTGATTAAATATTTCTTCTCTCATCTCTTGAGGAGATTGAGTTAAAAAATATTGTTGATTAAGAGTTTTAAAGATTGGATACGAATTTTGGAGATTTATTTAAAGATAGTAGTATATTTGCTCATTTTAATAATTTAAAGATAGCAATATACTTGCTCACTTTAATAATTTTTATTATGCTATTTTTGACATGTGAAATATTTTGCAGTGTTTACGTGAAAATGCAGCAGAGGATGTGCAGCACGAAAACGAAAGAAAATTGATGCCGGTCGGTGACAGTATCACTAATAAACCTGAAGATGTTGTGAAAGAGAGTATTGAGGAATCAAACGATAAGCTATCTGAGGAAGCAATCAAAAATGGTATAGAAGAAGTTAGTCACTTTCTTCATATTAACGATGAAAAAAATTTCTAAAAATGAATTATTCAAGAATGAATTTGTTGTGAAACCATGAAACTGAGGTTGGATTCTCATAATTTATCAAACAGTTCGTTACACTTTTTAGATGAACAGTGAATTATCTAAACTAGGAGTTGTAACAGGAAATGCAGTTGCCGTCTCAATTATGAATGATAAACTACTAGAAACACTGCAGTTACATCGTGAGAAGGTGCTCTTTTGTTCCTGTTTTCTCTGATACTCTTTTTATTCATTGATTCTCTATATCTATAGATTTTTAAAATAGTTCTTGAACTTTTTTCCACAAAACTCATCTGACAGTGGCAATATGTCGCAAAATGGCTTTTACCAGTGTGCTTAGCAAGTAATAAGTAATAAGTTTGTGCTTACTCGTTTTTCGAGAGTAAGTTTAAATGATAAATACTACCATTCTTTTCAAAAGCCACTTTTAGAAATTATTTAAAGCAATTTGAAACTAGATAAAATGTACAACAAGTAGCAAGTTTGACATGTTGCAGAAGGCTACGCTCGAAGAGTTACATCGTAGAAAACGGGAAACTCAGAAAGGTATAGCTGATGAGGCATTGCAGCAGGTTGAAACGGCGCGCTTGAAAGGTAAAGCTACAGCTTTAATTTTAATTTATGTTCTAGAAAAATTAGGAAATTTTCAAATAAAATTTCCTAATTTTTTAATTTTTTTAGAACATAAATTTTAAATTTCTCCTCTGCTGTGTAAAGTAAAATCTGACGCTGAGGAATTCTCCAGTGCACCGCTTTTCTGGAATCTTGCAGAACTTATATTTCATAGAGAAATATAAGTGACTTTTCCACTTGATGTTTTAAAATACTAATTCTGTTAAATCCTTCTTCAAGTTGGTATATTGTTTCGTAATTGTTACTTAAAAGCCGAGATGAAAACGAGTTTTTTCGCTGAAATTAATTAACAAATTTCTGATTTCTTTTCGACTTGTTTGATGCTTATTTGATTTTACTTCGGTACTATTTAACCGCCATCATTTTTCATCTTGCTGTGAACTGTTTTTTCTTTAATTTTTTTTGAATTGAGGAGTATTAGGCAGTCTACTCTTTCATGTTTTTTAAAAGTTTTCAAGCATTTCCTATTCTTGCTAAAAACTTTGACGAAACAATTTTTATCAAGATTTTTATGTTGCGAAAAAGATAGAGAAATGCACACATAAGTGAGTGAAATTTTTGTTTACCTTTTCGTTGTTTTTTCTTTTCATGTTGTTCCTTTCTTTTCCTTTACATTTCATTTTAGGATAGAAATACCAGGTAAACAGAAATATAAAAAATAACGCAGTTCGTTGCTGTAAAACATTGTTCAGCTTCCGTCAAATAATGTCTATATATTACCATGTAGGAATGTTTACGTATGAATGTATGCATGTCTGTATGTGTGTATGTTTGTATGTCTGTAAATCACATATATTATATGTCTAATTTGTTTTATTTGTCTCTAACACTGGAATTAGCTGTCATTTCGTGGCATCCATTTGGCTAGCATCATTTCTATTCGTTTTCTGCCTGTGGCATATGCCTACTCTATAGATAAGTGATCTTTTTATCATTTATGGTTTTAAAATTAGGCTTTCATCGATAATGGGAGTTTTTTGAAAATGCATGTCAATTTCAGTGAAAATGTTCGTGTAATAGTTGTGCATGCATTCGTTTATAACGGTTTTCGAAATGTCACCGAGATCTTGACTCTAAAGATATTTGGCGATGAGAGAAAGACACGATATGAAACATCTTCACAGTCCTCTAAAGTAATATAACTACCCTGGGCTGCGTCCCCTTCCATCTCTTTATTATCCGTCTACAAATCGACTCATTTATGAGGCTCTATAGGCTTATCTTGCTCCTCCTCTCACCCTTTTCATTTGGCAAATTCTGTTCTGTATCCATGTTCCTTTCCTCCTTGGAAATACTGGAAACACTAGTTGAACATTTTTATTAGCTAGCTTGAACGTATCGATTTTGTCAACTGTAAGATATACATTTATTTACCAGCCATTCCCATCTGCGAGGAAGCAAAATAACGCTTTTGGAAGTACACAATATCTCTTGTCACTTAGCTAGCTTCCTTCTTATCCAATTTTTGTTTTCTTTCCTGTAGATTTACTGTAAAATATATTAGAATAATCTTACTAATATTAGTTGATTTTAACTGCTGAACTTAATCGGAGTTGATGTATTGACATTTTTCTCAGCAACATAAATTTCGAAATCGATGTCATGAAGTTTTAACTTTTTTTCACTGTTAAAGAATTAAGCAGATATTATGACTGAAAGATGTTATAATTGAGAAGCTTCATAAAAGAGAACGATAATTCTTGGTCAAGATTTTGATTGGATTTTTTTATGACTGTTACTTTTTTACCAACATATAGTATCTTTCTCAAGATTCCTCAAACTCTTTGTTACTGTCTTTAGTAGTTTATGATTGTTGAAATTTGATGACTTGAATTTTTAGGAGAAAATTTTGTAAAGCAATTTCTAAAATGAATCTCTTGCAGTGTAACACATTTATTGCGGCTCTCTTTTGTAATTGAAAGTTCGCAAAAATTTTGGTAATTGTTCTTCGATGACACTTAGAATATTTCGTTTTCTAAGCTTATTACAATCACAAATTAAAAAGAAAAAGCGGTATGGATGATAAAATATTTCAGCTAAAAGTGTCCAGTCTTTAAAGTTGGACTATGATAAATTGATTAGCTAACTGAGTGACTGAGTGATGAACTGATGAACTGTTGTATAAATGATTGACTGACTAATCGACTAGACGAATTAAATAATGAGCCATCGGCTAAAAATGCTATTTGTTAAAATCGTCATAATATTATAGTTAATGAAAGTTAGCTTAGCAAATGATGTCGATTTGAGCCTTTATACTTGCAAGTTTCAATCATATCAGCTAAAACTTTTATTGACTATTTCCACAGCGGGCATCCAATGATACAACATTAAATAAGCGGATTATGTTGAGTTGTGTCATAACCTTAGAAAAATATTGTTGAAAATTTGAAGTGTTTTGGTTTATTTAATTGAACAGTTGTTCTTATTTTCCAGAATTGTAATTCACTCTTCCACCGGAAGCATCTGCCATCCGCCTTTCTCTGTCTACTCAACTATCATTCTGATACACAACAGCAAGCTCTCATAGATCATTTGCGACCACTTAATTTTACGTTTTAAAAGAAGTAAAAACTCTCCTATGTTGCCATATAACATATTATGCCCATTGTCATTTAGATGCATAATGTTTGCTGGAAAATTACTTTTTAAGTTGCATCGGAGCAAGAGCAAGTGGAAAGGAAACGTAAAACATTGGAGCGATTGCGACGTGAAGCGCAACGTCGTGGTATCAAATTGGGGCCTGGATCAGCATCAGAGCCAGATATTGTTGCTCAACCGCAACCAGAGCCCAAATCAGTCACTGAAGCAAAGTTAAGGGCTAAATTGCAATCGAAGAAAAAGGTGATTAGTTCAAGATCATCCTTATTACCTTAAATTACATTTTTGGATTTCTTAAAACTTCGAATGATGATGTAATCTTGTGAATGAAAAACTTCGGATAAGACAATATGTCACACGATTCCTTGTAATTTTTCCATTTAAGCTTACAAATTTTTTTCTGTTAAATGAGTACTTGCTCACTATTGAGTCACTATATTCTTCAAAGAAGTTGCAATATCGCTCAACAGATTGAGATTCTCGAAGCAGTATGTATTTCAGACTTAGATTAATGGACACGTTTATCAAATGGCGATCAAACCACTTCATCACTTTAAGTCTGACAGAGTGATTTGAGAAGTTTAAAGATTGGAATGAGAATCCTAAATGCTATGGTAGCTATGAATAAATTACGGAAAATTTTTCAGTTTTTGTGACTTCCGGAAAACTTAAGTTTAATCTCAGTTGATTTATTTTACCTGCAGCAAAATACCGAACTGGAAGATGATAATGGACCACCAGTACCGGATGATTTGGCACCGAATGAGCGAATTCCACCAGTTTTGGCGAATGAACACGCTAAAGTTGAACAGCAGCAACAAATGGAAAAAAAAACCTTTGAAATGACTGGTAGTAGTGGAGTTGTGGGGAAAAAAAAGAGAAAAGGCAAGAAAGGATGTGAACAGCAGGAACAGCAACTGCCAAAGAAGCAGTCTGATACAATCAACTCTTCCATACGGTTTGCTTCATTCATCCTTAGTGCGGTATGAATTTTTATGAAATTAATACTAGCAGTCCTTTATTGCTTAATCACAAAAATGACTGATCAATAAAGGATCGTGGTGTTAATCTCATACGTTTGAAAAAAGAGTTGAATTTGGAAAGGAAGAAAAGTCATCTGAAAATATATGAAAATGAGCGGTCTTAGATACTTTGATACATTGATATCTTGCTTGATATCAAACATTAGATCCAGTATAAGTTTTCTTGTTAACTGTGAATCGTATCTACTTTACATTGGAATTTTTTTGATCCTTTTTTCTTTCATACACGTATGGTTGACTTTAGATCTCACTTTTAATGAGATTTATGTAGACAGAAATTTCTTCAGTCTATTACTTCTGTTTGGTTTGATGGCGCTATCAGTCTGTATCTCAAGAAATAAAATTTTAGATTGAAGGGCATCAGTGCGCTTATTTCCTTAATCTTTTTGAAAGTACAATAAAGCTTGCAACTCTTATTATTTGCAGTGAAAAACTAGCTGCAATTGTAGCGCGTAAAGAACGTATGCGAGAAATACGAGCAAAATTAATTCAGCCTGTTGTAGAATCTCCTCCTGATATGGATGAAACATTTCGTAATGCTTTGCAACAGTTAAAGTATGGTTTTTTAAATTTTGTCTAAAAAATAGATATATGAAAATTATATGAAAAATTTCAAAGGAAAAAATTTCAAAAAAAAATATATTAATGACGACTGCACTTGAATGCAAATCCAGTTGTAATTGGATTTGCATTCAAATGCAGTCATTAATAATAATTGTATTAAATTAAGAACAGTATGTAGTTATTAAACCTCATATGGGTCCATTGTAACAGTGGAAATTTTGTACTGATAATGTATGAAGTCACATAACACAAAATTTTTAAAAACAGTGGAATCATTTATG